GCATGAGTCGTGACTGTCACGTTAGCCTGATGGGACCAAACTCCCTTTGTGATTTTAAAACGTAAGACAGTACCCAGATTTGAAGACTAGAGTAAGATTTAACTTCTACTGTTAATAAGATTTTGGTAGACTACTATTAGATGGATAGCCTAAATGTCCTAATTCAGATGGGCTACCTGTTTTTTTTGTTTTTTAATGGTATATCAAAAAGTGTATATTTTTTTTAATGTGATTGTTGGTACATTTTACCAGTTTTTACCATACTTTCAAAACAAAAATTAAAATAGTTGAAGACTATTTGTCTATGTGTTTTACTGAGAAAAAAAACGATTTGGTTTTTAAAAAGCCTTTTTCCAAAAGGTACATCTGGAAAAAGGGGGGTCGTCTTATAATCAGGGTCGTCTTATATTCGGGCCAATATGGTATATTGAATCTCAGTCTGTGGTGTGACAAATTGGGAATGTCAGTTAAGACATTTTCTGTTAGTATTAGCAATTCTGTTTCAAATTCTATGTATCTTCATCTCTAGTGACCCTGGATGAGAGCAACAGGACATGGGGTCGAAGCACCAATTACAAACCTGAGGAGTTTGAAGATGTTAAGAAAGGGTTTAAGAAGAAGGGCTGCACATGGGGACCAAGCTCTGTGCAGACCAAGGAAGGAGCAAATTGTACTGAAAGGTTAGAACTGGTGTTTATTTTTTTGTGCTCCTTTTTTTTTTTTTGAAACAAAGACAAATATTTTTATAAAAATAAAATTTAATACAAAAAATTGTGTGTGATTTAAGCGTGTAATGTATGCTACCTTTTTTAATGACTCAGTAAATCTCATGATTCAGATGTGTTCTAATGAGTTATAAATTGTGGGTGTCACTGTCATTTTGTCTTCAGAGTTCGACCTCTTTCAGATGGAAGCAGTCCCTTGTCCACTAGTCTTATGAAGGCCCAGAAATCTGTTCCATTGGCAGCATTATTTGCGGAGCAGGGTATGTAAAGAAGGCTCATCTTCCATTTATTTTTTCCATGTACTCAATTTTCATCGCTGTCTGTTATATCTTTTATTCGTGTTACAAAGAAATGACATTAATGTTGCTTTGTTCGAAATAGCCCCTATACCCTCATTCACTATTCCCTACATTAGTCCACTAATCTAGTCCAGTTGAAGTAGTGAGTGAATTCAAATGCACCGAGTGCACCGGAAGGGATGCTGCTTTTGCATAATTTGTACTTGCTGTTTAATAATCATTTGAAAGTTAGAAAACTGGCGACTACAGGTGTAGAAGAGATTTATCTTGAACTGTCATGGAAACTAGCATGTATAAACCTTAATTAAACTAGTTAATAATCAATTAAAAAGAAATTTATATCTCAATCAGCTCCCTAGGTCAGTAGTCAGGGCACTGATCAGGGAGTAGTTTTAAGGGCTGTCTCAATTGCGAAATCCTTCCAGTGCACTGGAACGTTCACTCCCTGAAAAATCCAACAATGCACCACAAAAGCTAGGGAGCAACGATGCTCACTATGCTCCCTTACCGGAATTTTCGTCACATTTCTGAAGCACTAAACCTAAACCACAGGAGCCAACTCGATAAATATAAATTACGCGCGCAATAGAGGATTTGAAATGACAAACCGTTTTTTTTTTTAATGTATTTCAGCATAAACACATCGCTAGACAGGTAGTTAACACATCTAGTTAACATTTATAATTAATATTTAACTGAAATGTTGTAAGGACATGTAACAGAACAGAATTTAAAGAGAATAAAAACAATATCAAAAAGAAATTGGTCCTGCCTGTTGTTGATTAATTCCAGCAATGATGTCTGTTGACATTGTACGTAGTCATGTCGCTGGAAATTGAGTAATCACTGTCCCAATGTGCAGTGAGCCAGGGTACTACCAGTGACTGAATTTGTGTACATGATATACTGGTTCAAAAGGTCGGGAGCTAGGGAGCGAGATGCACCCTGTATGATATTACGCTGTACCCACATTGGACCAGCGGTTTGGAAAATGGATGGATGGATGATTCAGCTGCAGGTGCCATCTTCAGGCGAGACGCGGGAATTCATTTGGCACAACCCACAGTGCATTTTAGGCATTCTGTAGCCGTTAAGTGTACATCGGTTGTACACTCGTTATTGAGGTGCATTATGGGTTTGACTGAATGCACTCAATAACGTCCCCTATGGTTTCGGACGACACAAATGGCTGTCCCCCCAATAGTGCCCTGTTTAAGGATGTGGGGGAGATTTCAGACACAGCCACTGTGTCATGGCACCCATTTATGTGCAACGTTCTGCTGTATTTTGGTGGAACACAGTCATTTTCTATCTTCTGGCATTTACTACTTCTCATTTAGTACTAATACTATATTGATTGAACTATTAAATATGCACAATTAATAAATCTGCACTTTTTAGATTCTATCTAATCTTGTTTCCAAATTGCTTGCGTGCTTTTAACTCTTTTTCTTTCTTTTTTTTTAAAGCCTGTTTAAAAGTTTAAAAACTTTTTTTGTGAAGTCTCTTATGCTCCTTGAGGCTGCATTTATTTTTAACAAAAATATACTAAAACAGTAATATTGTGAAGTAGTTAAAAGAAGTGTTATTTGAATATACAATATTTTCAAATGTAATTTATTCCTTCAATGGCAAAGCTTAATTTTCAGCATCATTACTCCAGTCTTCAGTGTCACATGATCCTTCAGAAATCATTCTAATAAAATTTCCCAAAAAATCTTACAGAACCCAAATTTTGTTAACTTGTTTTATGTTGTTTTCCCAGGAACCAATAAAGATGAAGTATGTTCTGCTGATGGATCTGACAACAAACCAAAGCAACTGAAGTTCCCCAACCAGGTTTATATTGATCTACCTCTGTGGAAAGATGAACAGGGAGAGAGCCAGAGGCCGGCTGGTGGAGGTGAGAGCCAGGAAGACCCAACAACATCCACGAGTTCCACCAGCACCACACCGCAGCACACACCCACCAACAGCCTGAAGTGCACCACCACACGCCGGCGCACAGATGCTGTTCTCTATGGCTGTGCCTCCATCCTGGCATCTGTAGCATTCGGCTTCGACCTGTGGGAGGTGTGTAAGGGTGCTGCTAATGAGGAACCAGAGCCACGTGAGGAGAAGAAAAAACGAGAGGGCCTGTTTCAGCGTGCCACTCGCTTCCGCCGCAGCACCAGCCCCCCTGGTGACCGCTCACGCAAGGATGAGGTTACCGCAGGACCCGTAAACCTACTCGCCATGTCATCGATTTCTGAGTGCAACTCCACCAAGTGCCTCCTGCAGTCAGATTTTGAGGGGTCTGGGTATAACCCACTGAACGAGACTCCAGCTAGCAATTCCCAGACACATCAGCATACAGGCACTAGTGATGTTCTTCCCTCTGCCCCTGTACAAGATCATACTTCTGGATCCAACTCTCGGCTTAGGAGAAAGAAGTCCAGCCCTGCTGTGTGTCAGACCAGTGAGTAATGTGGTGTTATCTTTTAAAATTCTATACTATTTTGTCAAAATAATGTATAAAATATATAACTGATCATTTTAAATGAAACAAGTGAATATAGACATCACAACATCATAACTTACACTATGAAAAATTTGTATTTTAGATGACTTTGAATGGTTTTTAATAGAGATGAACCGATCGACCGGCCAGGGACCGGAATTAGCCGATTTTCTGCGTGATCGGCCCGGACCGGTGACCGGCCGGTCAGTCTGCCAATTCTGAGCCGGTCCGTTCTGACATCACACCCACGCTCACATCCGCATGTAAACATGTCGTCGGCGTGGAAGTTCTTCACTGTGAGTGAAGAAGACACAAATTTCTCAATTTGTAATATGTGTAGGGCCAAAGTAAACAGTGGGAGAACCACAGGGCTCGATTAACGCTTGTCTGAGACAAGTAGATTTTTTACAATCCCAGTGAGAGAGAACTTCACTTGCTCGACCGGACCATAAGCCTGATTAAAACGTCAATAACAAAAATTACCAGGGAAGCACTGAAACTTGGCCACCAAAAATTTTTGCGCAAGAATGATTGTGATTTTATTCCATTCAGTGTAAACGGCGACTGATAATGTATTTATGTTGTGACAGATGAGGCTCATGCAGCCTGAATGAGAGAGACTCATTCAGAAATCAAAACAAATGAGCGCAACAGCACACACAAAGTAATTCACAGAAAGTTACAGATGCCCACTGCGGTAGAAAAATGATATTTATAATATGTAATATAGGTTAACAACATTACACGAACAAGATGTTTCCCAGAATATCAACATGATTGCTACTTTTATACAATAGTAGTTCAATAAACAAGAAGTTAAAATAAAGGGACTTACATTTTAGATACAATTATTGACTGTTTTTGCTCAATTTCACAAATGAAAATAGTTCCAATCAAAGCCGCAACACACAGTGGTGGTGTACTGAATGAATCCACATTTTTGAACGAATCAGTGAGTCAATGATTCAATGACCCATTCATAAAGACAGTCACTTGCCTGGTTTCTGAATGAATCGGCCATTTGAATGAATCAGTTGAATGAATGACTAAATGACTCACTCAGTCATTTGCCGCCACCTACTGGTGCTTTAGTTTCATATTGAAAAGTATCATTGCATTTTTCCCAACAAAAGTTATTTAAAACATTAATCTTATAAAATTATTTATGCATTTGCAATTTTGCAGTGTAAATGCATTTATGGCACCTCAGCTTCATCAAACAGTCTGTGTAAATGCATCTAATGCCACTTCAGATGCAGCTTCTGTGTTTCCTGCAGTGGAAAGATGGATTTTGTTGATACTGATTTCATTTGAATGGTAGCGAGACTACAGTTTTTTATTATTCAAATTGAATTAATTGAAACAATGTAAGAATTTGATGTGAACGATGACACATTTTATAAGATTAGGAAAACAAATGACCATTTCTAAACGTAGTGGGAAATGATATCTGTTTTGTTATATACTGCAACTCATTTTCAGTTTGTTGTTATTTCTACCTCTTTCCAGTCACAGAGCACTTTATTTTGAGAGTTGTTTAAGTGAGAGAACATCTGTAACTTAGTCCAGACTGGGGGAATTGAAATGTTTAATAATTTATTTTATGTAAATAATTTTTGCATTGAAAAAAAGTAGATTTTTGTTTGTATATGCTGTCAATAGTTCTTAGAATGAAAATCGGAATCAGCAAAAATTGCAATCGATGCATCTCTAGTTTTTAATCATTAGTGTTTTATTAGATGACAGCAAAGGTAATCTAAATAAAATAAAAAAATAGATGAAAATTAGTATGTAAAATTAAACACTGAATATCGTCCAATACAGATTTTCATTTGATTTGATTTGATTATATTGTTATTAAATTATATATTTTATCTAAAAAATATATCTAAATTTTCTAAATGTAAAATTAATTGGAAATGAGTATGTGAAATTAAACTGAATACTGCAAGATAAAGAGAATTAAAAAAAAAATCTAATAACAGCTGATAAGCATTATGGTAGCAATATGTTGTGCATCTTTAGTGCATTTAATTTACGCTGTTGATTTAAGGGATTTTTTTTTTGCTCTGCTCATTTCTGCATTAACCCATAACAGTGAAGTTTTGTTTTCAAATATTGTTTATTAACGATGTTACTTTCTTTGCTTTAGTTAATGGCAACAGTAACTTCCAGGCCAGTCCACCTGATTCCTCTACCACTTCCCTGAAAAAGAAGGCTGACAGAGAGCCTGCTCAAGAGAAGCAAGCCTCCGGGGAATCAGTATCTAGACCCAGACCGCTTTCGCTAAGAAGCAAACCTCACTCCTGGGCTCTTCTAAAGAGCCGCAATAAGAGCTATTCTCTCGGGCACTACTCTGGGGAGAAGAGTGCCCAAAACTTGGACATGGTCCTCCCCTCAGAGGTCAAAATGGGCTGCTCTTTGCTGGATATGGACACAGAGGGTCAAAAACGAGACTGCACAGTTCCCCTCTGTCGAATACAGAGCACACCAAGTCGACCGTCTGTCTTCGAACTGGAGAAGAAGTTTTTATCCTGAAATAAGCTGCATCTGGAACAGTCTTACTTTTGTCTTGAATCTGTCTGTTCAACATGACATTTAGTTGGTTTGGTGTTTTTTTCCCCAAGATTAACATGGCCTTTGATCAATATTTGAGCCATTGCTGCTAGAGATATTCTGTGGTACTTTTATATGCTGTTTACTTTGATATGTAATTTAATATGAAGTGACATATATGAAGTGAATGATCAGCATTCCACTGAATTTACAGTTAGAATTGCTGGTTTGTAGTTTTTACAAAGTGACTTGAATTGTAAACCTTTTACACTGATGAGCAAGATCTCAGATTCTGTTAGAAACTACTGATTTTTAAAGTGTTCAGGCATTCTTGTCATTTGATTTCATATCACGTAATGTCATATGAAAGGCATAAACAGGGCCCACAGTGTTTATATAAATAATAATAGTTGTACAGATGAAGTGGCATAGCTAATGTAGCTAACAGACCTCGTGTTTGCTAGCTCAAACAGCGCTTCAAGTTCCCTAGCTCATTATTTTTCCTGTACTAATACATTACATTTTCAGGGTTTTGTCTTTTATGACCTGTTTGAAATTGATTCCTGGTGGTCAGCATAATTTCTTTCTGATCATTTTTTGGAACATTATTTTTTTCGTAAAGTTATATTGGATAGACACCTTATGGACTCTCTCCTTTTATAGCTTTAAGTCAGATGCATTTTATCTAATTATGTCTTTTAGAAGTGTACACATGCCTATAGCTTTTTAGGTTGCATAACCCAAATGAGAAGCTATATATATATATATATATATATATATAGGTGGTTCATTATGCTGCCAAATAGTGATAAATGAATTAGCTATATTGTTAGTGTCTATCAATATTGCTATTATTTCACAAATCATTCCAGTCTATACAAACTCTGAAAAATGAATTTAACTAATAGATTTGTTAAGCACCAGGATGCTACTTAAAAACTGTTACCGTCTGAGTAGCTTGTTTTTGAGTTTTACACTGCTGTAGGTTCACTAAAAGTTTAAAATAATAATTGATTATATGACGTGAAATCAAGATTTGGTGTACCTTTCCTTAAAATATACTTCAGCTTGAACTGTGTGTAAGTGATTTAAACTTTTTTAGCTGTCATTCTATATATTCAAACTGTTTTCTTAATCATTACCCTGTGTAAAAGACTGAATTATACGCTTGTTCATTGTCTACTGTGGACTTCAGTATCTTGCGTTTCCATTTTCTCTCTGTGTGTCACTTAAAATATTGTTTTGTATCTTCAAGATGTGGAGATTGAGATTCAGAACATGCTTAATTGAACAAATTGAAAGATTTTGTGCTTGTAGGGTGTCAAATGGAAGAGTACTGTACTCTTAGTTTGCTGGAAAAGATGTGTTTGAGAAACAACTCGGTATTGAAAAGCTTGTTATAGTAGGGACTAGAATTATTTACTGTAATTATATCATTCAGGATAAATGTATTGTCTGTTCAGGAATAATCACAGGTTTTCCCACTGCCTCCTGTTCAGAAAACAGCCATTATGTGGTGATGTTTTGAAGGAAGAACAAAATATGTTTTGTAGCACTGGAATTTTTGAGTCATGTAATGATGATTGTTCATTACATTTATGCTGTTATTGTTTTAAGACATGATGATTACCGTTAGTTTAGATATGCAGCTGCACATTAGGATTCATAAGAACAAAGGACTTGGAGAGATATTGTGGTGCCTCCTTTTTATGTCTTGAAATGATCATTACTAGATGAAGTAATAATAATATGATGCCTGTTTTTGAAGAATTCATCTGGTGTTATTGTCTAAGCACAATCATTTCTCTTATTATGGGAGAACTGCAGAGATCAGACCTTTTTTTTTTAAAGCAGTTTTATTTGGACCGATTCCCAAACGTGAAGGACACAGATGTGTGAATGACAGAAAACCTTTAGAGAAAGCAACAGATGATTTATGTTTTCACCAAAGTTGAAGTCTTGGATTGTGAAATGATTTTGAAAGATTGTTACATGGTACACATGCACTGCTAATAGTTTTACTGGTTTGCTTTTTAGTGTCTGCACAGTGTATGCTCTATTGAGCTCTGTTTTTATCCAATGTTTTACCCATGTGACCAGTTTAAATTTATGTTAAAAGCTGTTCTGTTCAGATGTGGACTGGTTATTTGCTCCAGGAGGGCTCAAAGAAAAAAGGGCTGAGCCCAGAATCATCTCATTTATATCAAATCCTACTATTTTAATGTACACAAGTGACCAATAAATACTTTATACAACATTTAAGCATTGCTTTTATAATTTATTTCGTTTTACTTTCAGTCATATGCTGCAACCATTTATTTGTTGCGTTTCAACACTGTATCATAATATTTAACTACTTCTGTTTGGTGTTCAGTTCTCAGCCCTAAACGTGACTATTAGTTCATGTTTTTATTTTCATAATTCGTTAGCCTTAAAGCTGAAGCGTGCATGTATTTTAATTTAAAAAACCTAACTTAATACTAAATATCTTCAAGTAAGCCAGTAGTTGATTTTCCTGAGAAAAAAAAAACACTTTCCGCTGCTGTTGGCTCAAACCAGTGGTATCTCTTTGTCCACCCAATGAAAGATAAGAGTGTTCAGGAAACCTGTATGTAAACAGTCATTATTTTTGCTGATGGTGCTAGTGGTGCAGAAATTACACACTTCAGCTCTAATGTAACATAAAGCAAAGCCAGGCTTATAGTCAGCTTTATAGTAAACATGACCTTGGTGAAGAATTGCAGACATTCCACTATGTAGTGTGTATGTGTGTAATTTTCATGTTGAACAAAGGTCCAGAAGCAGCCTCACTCTGCAGGCAGATAAAACAGAAATGTTATAATCGAAACCAGAAATAATATGAATACTCTAAAAATACACGTGCGTCTTGTATGTGGAAGAAGAGAACACTCCAAATTCTCAGAACTGAAACTCTTGGCAAAGTAGACAATCAGTCTATTTTATCCTAAGGTGGTTGGAACTTGATCTGAGGGTGTCTCAAGAGTGCAATCTCTGTCTCGAATAACAAGTAGCATGTCTGTGCTCACTTTGCAGTCTTTTTGTCTACCAACCATCAATGCCCGGGAGGGAACTTGTCACGGACACCATCATTTATCTCAGGTGTTTCCCTTACTAAAGAAGCCGTATCACGTGTTACGTAAGGCTTACCTGTGGGAGACACTAAGCCCTCAATGAGTGCTGATGCAGGTGCTGGAACTCCGTAAGCTTTTGCGGCCTGAGCGAGGAGTAACGGACATAGCCTGAAGGCAGTAGGTGGTTTTCGGACGTAGCCCCTCAATCACAAGCTCCTTGGAGCAACTGTCTGTTTCATAAACTTCCTATTTGGGAAAGATGGGATTGGTGAAGGTTTAGCATACTGAATTTGAGGAGTTTGGAGTCATTTCTCATAATTACCGTAATTTTAGGGCATGGGCTGCCAGACAGTTATTTTAAAACATTTCGGAAAAACAACTGCCAAATGAAGTGCAAATTGCTCTTATGCATGTGACATTGTTTAAATCAAAAATTTCACATACGTTTACTATATACACATTGAATTTGTGCATTTATAAGTAAGGGTTTTCTTACCTCTTCTACATCATTGTGCATCAGGTATATTCTAAATGTCAGTTTCTGCAGTTTTGTCACTCGTATCCTAGAGCCTTTCTGTCCTCGCAGAGGTGTCCTCGGAGGTCTGATCTGAACTGAAATGATCCGTCCTGTCATGGTCACCTTTATCTGCGGTGGGCTGAAACTGGCTGTAATTTGGAGGAAGTTATTTGGTGAGAAGTTCCACAGGAAGAAAAAAAAAATCAAATTGTGCTGTTATGCCATCACAGTCACACTGTAATCTTTCTTCCTCTTTGATTGGCACATCTATTGAAAAATCAACCATATGTGGATGGAAGATCATTTCAAATGTAGACAAATGTGTTGAATTATAAGCTTTTCTGAAGGACAGTTATAATTAAAATGATGCAGTATACTCACTTTCCCACTGAGGGTAAAACCTGTGGCTAAGGAGCCATGATGAGAAGCCCTCAGAGGAGAAGGAACGGACCCTGGCATAGTACCATTCTCTGGGATCTGACGTCGCCTGGCTCAAGTCACACTCCAGCAACCGGATGCCTTGACAGTGCTCAGAATTAGTCCACTCTTTGTCTCCATATCTGAAATCAAGAGAAGTCACCAATATGAAACGTTGCGGATTCAGTTCGGATGTTTTGCCAATATTGGTAAGTTAATTTATGAAAATAATTTACGTTCTTCGACAAGAAAGTTGTGCACGCTTACATTTTATACTGAACAAAATATGTCAGGTTCTTGACAGCTTTTTGTGGATGTTTCCAGTGTAAGACATTTCTGAAGTCCAAAGAATGGAACTTTACTTCAAGGGGAGCCAAATCATCCTGCAGAGAGGGGCTGCCTTCAAGATAGCACAAATGAAACTTTACATGGAAATACTGCACGCTCATTGCTTATATGCAGGCTGCCAATGGTCAAGTAAAAAGCTGGAATTGAAGCTAAATAACTGTTAATTTAACAGATAATATTAAAAATATTAACATGGTGCCATCATCGAATTTCAGTGCGAGAAACAAGCTATTAAACTTACAGTCTGCCCAACAGAGAAGGATAATCGCAAAAAAAAGTGCCAGGCTTTGACGTCCAGTCAGGGCATACATGTTAACAGATTAAGGACATTCTGGTGGTTTCACTCTGAGACCTTTTAAACTGTACGAGTTTCCTGTTTTTTGATTGCGTCACAGGTTCAAAATCTCAAAAAAGAATTCATTACTCTTACTTCAAGAAAGTTTTTACACACAATTTAACTTAGTTTATTATAAACAAACAAACAAATAAATATGTTTGTTTAGTTGGGTCCACACAATTTAACTGGTTTATGCCAAATTAATTTAATGTAGTAGGTACAACTTATTATTATGTTTTTTGATAAATATGTTTGTTTAGTTGGGTCCACACAATTTAACTGGTTTAGGCCAAATTAATTTAATGTAGTAGGTACAACTTATTATTATGTTTTTTTTTTTAAAAACGACTTAAGTGGGATTTTTTAATAGTAATTAAAAAAATGTATATTAATTTACTGAAGTTTAATTAATTTTCTTATTTTTAAACAAGCAGTTGTGTACATCATTATGCACAATACATATAATGAACAAACGAGAGAAGACTAGTATCACTGACACTAGAATAGCTATTATTCATTGAGTGCCCACAGCACTGGCGACACTTTTCTGCATGGTAACCACACAATTCAAAAACACTGCAGAACCTCCTCTAAATGTCCAACATAACTGAACATTAAACACTAACATTTCTTTCCCTTTGCTGAGTAAGACTTAAATTTACTCTCCTAATGCAGCCCCTTGCAAAGCATGATAAGAACCACAGATCTACTGCCCAGATAGTTGTCTACAAAAATGATTTGTGTAGGTTTAACACAAATTAATTAATTAAACTTCAATTTTAAATATAGTAAGTACACAACAAAATTAAGTTGGCACAAAATGTTCAAAAATCATGTTACTCAATTTAATTAATTAAACTGAACTATCGTTTTTTTGAGTGAAGAAAGGGCAACCCTGCCCTTGGGTGGTCCTGTACAGTATATTGTTGCATTATTTTACTTGAATAATGATGTCTAAATGAATATCAATTTTTAATTACATTCAGCATTAGATGTTAAATCCCTTTATGTCCTAAGTGATCAAATATGTTTAATGGTGATCCAAAACCACAACAATAGACTCATAAAACCCTTGAAGAAACGCTTTTTTCCCCGCACTTTGTTTTAAATAGTTCCTCTGTAAGATATGGACATCATGCAGAAGTCATATGAAGTCAGGGAATACGTCTCTCACACTCACTAACCACAGAACGCATGATGACTGCACGGAAACAAAAAGAGTGCTTTTATCTTATGCTTGAGACGTACGTCTGTTCTTTCAAATATACACCAGCCAGACGTCTGCTTCATTCACAGGAAAGAAGCAGAGGTCTGAACAGGAAAGAGAAATGCATGTACTATAAATTTTAATTAGCTGTGATACCAAGGCAAGATCAGTTGTTTCCTACATGAATTTTGGAAATGGTGTAACCACATTTCCTCTTTAATGTGTGGTTTGAAATGTATCTACCTGCTTGTGTAACCCTGCTTAGACTCTGACCTTTCACGTTGTTCCCCAACCTTTTTTTTTTTCACGTTTTCACTTCACTTTTATTGTTCAAAAGGGCATTTACATATCTGATATGATGAACAATGTCACGTATTACCAGCTAAATGCCACGCTTTCTACCTGTTGTACCATTTTGTCATGGAGGGTTTTTAATTTCCACTGAAATAAGAACATATGTGACTCTAACATCTTTAACAGGAACAATAACAGTTTGACAGTGGAAAATGATATAAATTGGTATGTAATTCCATACATACCACTCACAACTTCTGTTTATCCAAATGTAGGTCACTAGCATGCAATATGATGATTTTATACCCTTATGTAAAAGTAGTACATTTTAGCATACTTTTAGAAAGAGTATACTTTAAAAAATCACATCTTTATGCAATTTCATAATTAACATCTATTGTCTTTGAAATATAGTTAAAGTGTAGTGCCGAAGTATACTAACAACCAGTAGACTAAGATATAATGTAATTTCTATTCTATTCCAATTTTATATATTTGCATTTATTTAATTTTAAATATAATATAAAAAACACTACAGTTAAAATTATAATCAAGTACTTTACATGTGCTTTAGTATGTTAGTCACCAAATCAAAAATATGTGAACAACTTTAAAGCATGACAAAATATTATTAAACAATCATTATAAAATATGATATTTGTGGTAACACATTACAATAAGGTTCCGTTTGATAACTCTATTTAATGCATTAAATAATATTAACTAGCAATGAGCCATGTTAGTTTATGTTAACTAATGTAGTTAACTAATGTTAACAAATGGAACCTTATTGTTACCAAATGTACTTTAAATTCATAACTTTCAATTTGACAATATTACAAAGCACACTTTTAAAAGTGTACTTAAATGTGTTACAATGTCGAAAAAGTGTACTCTCTTGAAGTAAACTTAAGTGGCCTTTAATTTTATGACTAAATTATCTGCAAGTAGTTTTTCAAAAACATACTTTTAAGAATTGAATAACACTTCTTTTTCACAAGTGTGAAGAAATAATGAAAGTTTAATAACTGTTTATATTATTTGCATTTAGCTAGTAACTGATCAACAGAATACAAATATAATAAGATAGTATACACCTTCCTTTATGATGCTATGTACAGTCATGGCCTAAAGTTTTGGCAGTGACATCAATTTTGTGTTTTGCAAAAAAGTTTGCTGTTTAAGCTGTTGTGGTGTTAATTCACATTGTTTCTAGATTATTGTGTAGAGTGATCAGATGCATTTTAA